ATGAACATCTAAAATCCATTCTTAACTAAAGAATAAATAATAAAACCATGTAAATTTCTTATCAAGCCCATCATTTCCGAAATGTCTACTTCTGAAAGTTCCCAGCATTTCTCAATATATTATTAAACTAAGCATCAATGATCGTCATGTTCGCTAATGTGGCAATATCTTTCACACTTCTTTGTTACCACAAGTAACAAGTAGGCTTCAATAAATCTTTAACTGTTACATGCTACTTTTGTCTAAAATTTGTACAAATAATAAAATTAAATGAGCTCTTTATAATATGCTCAAAGAAATAATTTTGTATGAAAATTTGTATGTTATAGCAGAATATTGGCCTGATTAATGATTCAGGAAATAATTCGGGTTTTCAAAGTGCTTCCAATAATTCAAATTTCAGCTTGTGTCAAAATAAAATCTATAACACAAAGATAAGCAAATTTCCTTATGAACAATGCATTTTAACATTATTCAATCACTGGCAATCACACAGTACTGATTGCTTCAATAAACATTACTGTAACTGTGTTATTTAAAAGACTGTAATGTTTTAATTATTTCCTTAATTAAAACATTAGTGTCTTTTCCTCCTTCTAACACCAAAAGAAAACCCAGATAAGAAATATAAAAATATCAGTAAAAAAAAATTATATTATTGAATGACACTTTACATTGATTACACTTATGCATATATTATTTTATTATAAATTATTTCAAAATCAAAGAAGAGAAGGGGGAGAAACTTTAATATTGACATTTCTAAAATGATATAAACATTAATCATTTAGTACAGTTTGTTATTTCAGGCAAAAAGAATTCACTTTTCTGGATAGCATTTATATTTCCATCTCACTTTCAATGAAACATTAAGAGAAATGCATATAATTTAAACACCAGTTTATTTTATTTATCAGACAGATTATGTCAACTCAAAAAAAAACCTATCAGTAAAATTCGGTAGTAGTAATAATTCTGAATGTTAGGCAACTTGCAAGATTCAACAAAAATTATCAATACTTTTATTATAATGACAATACTACAGTAACGCGATGAACATAAAATTAAACTGCATATAACTATAAAATAAGCCAAAGCATATAATAATGGTGCATTGGTTTCTAAAACAATGGGCTCGATGAAAAAATACATGTATTATGGTAGCTATTCATATTCTTCAGCTTTCCTAATATTCTCATGTTCACTTTACATAACTAAAGTATCTAAAATACAATAAAAATGCAAACAATATTTATGAGAAAATGTTAAAAGCAATCATAAGCATTTGATTGAATGACCATATTTTGTCTTCCTGCAAGTCGAATCTTAAAATGATATGCAGTTTGAAAAATGCTTAATCCTTTTATAAAATATTCAAAAAAGATTAAAAAAAGGTACTGTTCTGTTATCAGGACCGGGTTCAGAATTGTATTATGTATGCTTGTATATTTGTGTGTCTACATATACACATCTATGCACATACTTACGAAACACAGGTTCATACATTTCCGATTCTGGTCCCAATAACAGAACAGTACCCCCAAAAAAACTTGAATTACAAACTAGATTAAGATAATGTTTCAACCATACATATTTTGGACAAAACAATGCAAACTCTTATTTTTATACAATTGTTCAAACTATTTTAACATAAATTTATTGCTGCAATAAATAATAAGCAATCTGATCACACATATTATTTTGAAACTGAATGCATAAACTAGACTAAAAAAAATTCAGTCATAAACATTTGGATAGCAGGGCAAATTAGATATTTGAAAAGACAGCCAGCCATTGAGATACACGTAATTCACGACAGAATGGTAACAATTCATAAAGCTGTGAAACAACACATTTAACTGTCAAAATGACATAAATTCGAAACAGTCAAATGTCAAAATTCGAAAAGCAAAAAAAGTAAACATACAAGTATTGCAACTGAACTTACCTTTCATGCAACAAAAAATATCCATACAAGTTAAACCTCATGGCGCAGCCATTTTGGATTTCGTTTCAAATCAGACAGATGTTTACGGATTTGCGGAAGAATACGAGAAACTAGTAGTTTGCCGGATACAATGTGCAATGACGCGAAAGAATATAGTTCTGTAGAACTTCCTACATTATTCCGTAATAAACAGTACTATTTCCTAATTTTTTCTTTATCTAATTAATTAATTAATAGGGAAATAGTTAAATAATGCCGAATTCATTTTTAATGAAATGTAAAATTTTGCATGTATGGGATGACCACCTTCCATCCAATATTTCTGAGAATATAAACAAATTTTGGAATCTGAGAGTATCAGTAAATAAATATATAGAATATCGCCTCTCAAACGACCAGTTCTGAAAGTGACCAATAGTTCTGAGATTATAAATAAATATTGATATTAAGCATTATTTCTATAAGATGACCATCTCTATATAAGACCAAAGTTTCTAGAATCTTGGATAGTCACCAGAGAATTATTTTTACTGCGAAATTATTGCACGACTGTAATTCAAAATCAATAACAGGTCGTGCAATTGAAAAACATTTTCCGACCTGTAATTAGGGAAAAAGTTTTTCCCCCTTATAAGGTATTTCTCCCGCTTTCCTAGCGTGCCTTCGTGGTGTGGTTCTGCACGCTGGGCCGGTATTTCAGAGGTCCGTGGTTCGATTTTCAGCGAAAGCGGTTGCTAATTTTTCATCTCTCCGGCTCTCCCAAAAAATCCTATATCTCTACAGTGCCGCCAAAACTAAAAGGGTGTTGGATGAGGTATATCCACACCCAGGATTTAGCAATTATTTCCCCTTTAAAAAAAAAAAAAAAAAAAAAAAAAGTCCCCCCTTTAAAAAGGGGAGTAATATAAGGTATTTCTCCTGCTTTCCTAGCGTGCCTTCATGGTGTAGTGGTTCTGCACACTGGGCCGGTATTCCAGAGGTTCGTGGTTCAATTCCCGGCGAAGGCAGTTGCTAATTTTTCATCTTTCGTGCTTCCAAAAAAAAATACTTAATGTCTCTACACCCTAATTAAAAAAAATTATTTTCCGTAATTTAAAAAAAATCTAATTTTACCTATATTTATAGTAGGGTTTGTAATCTGTAGTTATACATGTAATTTATACATTTTTTATAAAAAAATATATGTTATTTGGAATTTAGCAAATATTCTAAAAAATGCTAATCCATTGTAAAAAAAAATCTTTTCCATGACTAAGTAAATTTTTAAAAACGTCAGAAAAAATTGCAGTTAAAATTAATAACAAAATAACAAGAATAAATAATCATCAATATTTTTAATGTACGGCATTTAAAAACAACTTAGTAAAATACATATGAAAATTAAATAATTCTGTTTTTACTGGGTAGAGCTGTTTTTCAATAAAAATAGGAAAATTGATACATATTTTTATTAGAGCTAATAACTTAAGAAACTATCTGGCCATAAATTTCAGTTTAATATTGAGAATTGGCTTAGAGTGAGGTTGAGTTTCTGCAAGGTTGAGTAATTATTTTCAGACCTTCCAATTAGGAACTTGCTGGAACACAACCATATATCCTAATTTCATAAAGCATTCTTTTATTCTCTCTCAGCAGTATGAATTTTTCATAATTATTTTAGATTTTTTATAATAGTTATTGAAATAAAAGCATTCATTTTATCCAAGTAGAGTAAAAGTTCAGTTATTGAGATGTAGTAGATGTTGGATTATTGGAAAATTCTGGATAGTTGAGCACAGAAAAATATGTAGTTTATCATAAAATGCCAAATGAATGAAAGAAATTATTTACTGTCTAAAATTATAAAAACAGTCATTTTATTTATCATCTTGACTATCAAAAGCCTGCATTTAATGTAAGATTTAAAAAAAAAAAGTCAGTTTCAGGCATGAAAGTGTATACGAGCCAGTTTCTCTTAGAAAGTCCTCCACGAAGGCATCCCTCCCCTTAGGCAGATAGCCCTCGAGGCTTTGTCGTAATTAAATAACCTAACCTTCAGGCATAAAAGCTGAGTTATTTCCATAGGTCTATAAAATTTTAAAAGTAAAATATTTTGTTCAGTCATAAAATCCTGTCCATCACAAAAGTTGGTGGACATGTGGGCAAACTTGCATCAATCATTTGATAATCAAGAAATGCAAATTATGAATGTAGCATATGGAAAACTTTAATTGCTTGTCATAATTTTTCTTGTTGCATCATGATTATGCATCTGTTTTAAACAAAGTCACATATCAAGCTCGTAAATGCATGCTTTTATTGATGCCAACAACCTGTGATTTTTGTAAATATTCCACAGCATGTTCCAAGTCGGATCCGTTTTTTCAAAATATAAGGGAACAACAAATTAATAGCAGTTAACTTATATCCTTCTTCATGAAAGATTAAAGTGTTATTGAGGTTATATAAAAATTACAGGTAATATATAAGGATGACATTTTCTTAACATTATTTACTGAAATTTTTATGCATTATCAGCTAAAATCTCATATTTAATTTTTGTTTTATGTTATTATAAATTGGATTTTGGAAAAAAATTTATGGAGAATGATTTCTTGCTTTAATTAAATTCCTTTCAACATTTCATCATAACTTACAGCCCACCAGCAGCCGAGTGGAAAAGTCGCAGAACACTGGTAATTCGGTCTAAGATTCGAATCTCAGAAACAGGCTAGCTGCATGAGGTTTTTTTCATAGTTTTTCACATGTGTAACATGTATATGAGCCAGTTTCCCTTAGAAAATCCTCTACGAAGGCAGCCTTCCCCTAAGGCAGATAGCCCTCGAAGCTTTACCGTAATCATATAAACCAAACAGTCGTCATAACATATCATTCTTTGTTTTGATATTTCATCATGTACTATCTAATATTAGTTTATAGATTATTTTATGTAATGTTAGTTTTTTATATCTCTTGTATTAATAATTTAATATAGTGCAGTGTTTTATGAATGTACATATTGAATTAAATCTACCTGCTTTTGTGTTATATTCTGCATGTATTGTTTTTGTAGATTGCAATGCAAGCTGTGACATGTATATTGAAACAGCAGAAAAGACGTCATCCTAAAATTACAATTGATCCAACTATGCAAAATAGTAATTCACGTGTGTTACATCCATTGTTGGCACAGTTAGAAGTAAAAGAAACACCTGATAATTACTGGTTACAGTACAACAGTCTTCTTCCCCCAAATACACAGGAAGATTGGAATTCAAGACACTTTGTCCATAAAACTCATTTGGGATTTTATACATGGCCAAAGTATGTTAAATTTCTCCTCTTCTTCTAGATTGATTAAAAATTCAATTTTATTTATTTTCGTCCTGGATCATTCATCCAAAATTTAACCCCTCTTAACAATAATCATATTCAAAATAAATGATAGGAGCAATAAATGCTTGTAGGCATTTTCAATATCAAATGAACTTTTTCCCTCATTGTAGTAAGTACAGTACAAAGTCCGAAATTCAGACTCGTCAGGACTTTGGCGATTCTGGATTTGGGATTTTTCCGGATATTAGATCATCAATTTCAATCCAGTAAGATGGCATGTAGAAATTATAAAATTAAAAATATGAAATCGCAATTTATGAAATAATGAAGTATTTATGATCTAAAGGGTATAAAAATTTCCAAAAAAAAAACTTAATATTTATTTCGTCCAATGTAACTTAGTTGTTTCGTTTTTTGTGCTAATACTTTCTCTTTAATTCTGTAGACAGACATAATCTCTTGTTTAGTTACACTGTCAAAGTCCTGTAACTGCTATTTCGAGAATTCCGACTAACTTGTCAATCGAAATTTTCTCGTTTTCAGTAACTTCTCTGTCACTTTCACTATAGGTAGCGGTATTTTCTGGATCTAGAAACATACTACAAATTTCGCCATTTATTAATTGATTGGTGATTGAGAAGCATTGTCATCACAATAAAAAACCTCTTTTATATCATCTTCATTTATTACCACTTCTCCAAATTTCTTTACAAAATCCGTTAGTTGGAAAATTTCACCTCTGTTTGCGATATCCAAAAACCTTTAAAATTAGCGGCTGTCATCATCAAATTTAGCTATCCTTCACTATACATATTTGGTTCTGCATAATGAACTTGGCGACTAATGATAAGTTGTTCCATTAAATTTTATCTCGCTTCTATCGTGCACTGAGACAATTAAGCCTGAATTGTATTAGCTTAGGTATTTATTTTACTTATGTCTATTTCTTGCAAATACTTTAGGCTTATCAGACTTCTGAATAAATAAATTCCCTCATATACTTAAACCTTACTGAGGACCGACGCTAGCTATCTTACTGCCTGATGCAGTCTCTGTTGGTCTTAAATTCTGGACTCAGTGTGGCCATATGAGCCCTGATGCTAGTTCTGTGTGTATGTGAATAACAAATCAGTTATTCTTAATTCAAGTAGCCCTAAATGTAATCATTGGGTTTATGAGTATCAATAACAAAATCTATTTTTAGCATATGGAAAGAAATTTTCTTGAGAGTGTTTCCCTTAAATAAAGCTAAGATTAATCTAAATAAAATTCATGCTTTATTCCATGAATTAAAATAAAATAAGCTAACACTATAGCCTTTACGTTTAAACCATTTGAGGGAAAGAAAACTAGTATAATGCTAACTCAGAACATACACGTTCGCCAACATATATACATACTCGGCCAACCTGCCGATCTTGACGTCATCGGCCAATCAGCGGCAACCATGTTAGCTTTCCACTGATTGACCTCTGATCAAAATTTGCATAAAACTAAAGTCAACAAATTTTCCCTCGTGACCATTTTTTAGCGCATTCAACTTAAATCTGTAATTATCGCCAAGAGTAATGTCAATATAAAAGATTACCATACTCCTTTATTATTCAATTACTAACATAAAAAAAAATTGTTTAGGCATCGCTAAATGAGTCATTACTCAAGAAGGAAAATATAATAATGATTCGCCAGGTTGGTGTCAGATCAACGATGTATCTGTGTGGAATATTTCAGTTTGAGATGTGCGCCAAGCAGATAATGCAGCAACGGAACCAAATTACTGATTGTACAAATTTATGCTAAAATGATTGTTTCTTCAATAACAAGGTATTTTATTTAGTGTCGAAGTGAAATTAAGAATCGGGACTCTCCAGATCTTTTATTATTCTTGGAGGGGGGAATCAAATGCACATGCATAAAGCCTACCAGAAAAACATTGTTGGTGGTTTTGAGGTCTGGATTTTAGATCATTCTGGATGATGGACATCCGGATTTTGGACTTTATTGTAGTAAAATAAATCTTCTATTTATTTTACCATAAATAGTAATTCATTATAATGTGGTAGATTTAATACTGGAAGTTTCAGTCTATTTTTATCATACCATGCATGTATGCTTTGAGATTGCATTCAACTCCAATACAGTATTACTTACTTATTTGTATTCACTTAGCAGAGCAATAATTAGTTAGTAATTTTTTGTTGTACTGGTATTTGATATATTTGTACTTTATGGAATGTCATTGACTTCTGTTCATTTTTAGTAAGATCATACAAGATATTTAGCAGCTTTATGCAAAATATAAGTAACTTATCATAGGTAAATAATGAAATTTTGAGAAATTATTTTTCATATTTTATTAACTAATCTAGATATTCTTAAAAATTTATAGTTTGGAGGTGCAAATTTAAATTTCTGATTTGAATTGTATTTTAAGTGCTAGTGTAAATTTATCAACTGTGAAACTGAAATAACATTTATTTATGCTTGTAAATTATTATCTTAATAATCAGAATTGAGAATTGCATTTCATATGCATTTGGTGAATGGCTTGTGAAGTTCACTGGGAGCTTGCTTTTGTTTTGTGCCTTATATATATTTATGTGTCTATTGATAACTTGTATGCTCTTGTGTGTTTATTCTAAATGTCGAGTTTAAGTAACATGTGTTTTTGAGAGTTTTGTATTTCTAAACATTATTGAATATTCAGACCATAGATATATGTTTTCTATTAAATTTTTATTGAGAAAATTTGAATAATGATATTAATTTAATGTTATTGTTGATAAAAGTCTGATTTTAAGTGTGCATAATTATCATAAATAACATTTCCTGAAGAAAGATGTATATGCTTGAATGAAAAGAACAGTTAATTAATAGTTTGTATTTTTAATCCAAAAAAATTCAATCTTGAAAGCAGTGAAACTGTAAAATCTTTTAGGTCTGCTCATTTTTATTTGAATTATTTTATAAACTATGAAGTTTTCTTCTGTTTGAAAAAAATTCTGGATGTGAATTCTCATGTAAAATTGTTTATCCTGTCAAAATAATGGTGTAATAGAAAGGTCATTTCCTTATATTTGTAGTGGCATTTGCTAATATTATAGAAATAGTATTGCAGAATATAAACAATCCCAACAAAAGGATAAAAATGAATGTATTAGTCATTGATTAATAACACTGGGGCATGTTCTTTCTCAGTGAATACAAAAGGCTGTCTTTGATAAGGGAATAGAATTAGCATATATTAGTACGTGTAATAAAATTCTAGTAGTAGGTTCAGATTATATTTGGAAAATTTTAAGAGAACGAAAGAAACATGAGTTTCAGTCATGCAAAATAGCTTTGTCCTTCTTAGAAAACTGATCATTTGATTTGAGGACAAATAAACTCTTTTAATTAACAGTTTTATAAGTGATAATTTTTAATTGATGCTTTTAGGTAAGCAAAATTATATTGATTTGCTTTTCTAGATTTCTTTCCTTTTAATAACGATAAAATGATTGCTCATGTTTCTGTGTCTCAGAAAAGCTGAGACAATTACTTATTTTTGAAGTGCATTTTGCTCTCACCATAAATTATATTTTAGTTGACATATATGTGTAGGATGTTTTTAACTTTTAACGAATTTAGGTAGAATTGTTTTTTATTTCATCAATTTCCTTCAGTATTACTATGCAGTTTTTCAACATCAAATATGGGAACAGAATATTTGCTGATCTTGAACAGTTTCTGCAGTTTCCATACCCTCTTTCCACTCAAAGAGAATGATTGTTCTTTGCATCTTCCATAGTTTGGAAAACCAGTGCTACAGAAATGCACCTGTATCAATCAACTGAATCAGATAAAGCATTATGTCAAGACTGTCTGAGCCATTAATATTGCATTAAGTTCTATAAATTGGACTAGAGCTCAAGTCCCAGAACTTATAATTATCCCTACATATAAATATTTTTTGCTCTAAACAGCTGGAACCTCAGTTAGTTAGATCTGTTTTCATATTAATAGCTTACAGGCAGAACATTTTAATATATTAATTATAACATATTAATAGCTTTGATAAAATGCACAGCTTTTGCTAGTAAAACAACAAACAACCTGCTGGGTTCTGTATTCAATTTGTTACGCTTTGCCACTCCACAAAGCGTAACATATTTGTGTTTAAAATTTGGTGTGGTGTGTGGCATATTTAATTATGGCAAAGCACACTAGAGCTATCTGCCTAACGGGAGGGATGCCTACGGGGAGACTTTCTAAGGAAAACCGACTCGTATACACGTTACATATGGGGAAAACCACGAAAACGCCCATGCAGCCAGCCCGTTCGCGGGATTCGAACCTCTGTTTCAAATTTAAACAGAAAGTTGAGCTATTTAACAGAAATGTGCTGCCACTTCCTGAAGTAAAAACATTTCATGATTTCTTCCATACACTGGTGTGCTGACATTCTGAAAAGGCACAAAATAATTTTTGCTTAAAATTGAATCTTTTTATTACTGATGAACAAACTAAGTAATTTAAAATTATTGAACAAAATTTTTTTATCTTTATTAATATAAGTACTAGCTGGACCCCAAAACACTAGTTGTACTCATTAATTTTTTTTTTTCCGTGTTATTTGACTGGTTGCACAAGCTGCTAGTATGAGTTTTTCTAGTACATGAATGAATGTTCCGATGAAGGGGAAAATGTTTATTTTGTTATAGTACAGTTGCATAATTGCTAATATATTTCTGTTATTTAAAGGCATTTTGAAGTCTATGCACCTGATTCAGAACAACCTAAATTAGACAGAGAACATGATGAGCTATCTGAGGTATAAACTATTTTTAGTATTCCTAATAATGATCTTTGAATGTTTGATATTTATGTGCTAAATAAATAAGGATGCAAATTCATGCTAAATGCATCTTTTATTCTAAATTTATTATTATTATTAGCTTTTATTCTAAATAAAATGTAGTTTTTAAAAAGGTGTTAATTTATAAATGTAAAATGCATACCAAGAACATCTTGATCCCTAAAGTAAATGTAATGCTCACAATTGCCATTTATATCCTTATTTTGATTATTCCTGTTTTTTTAATACTTCCAGCATTTTGTTTGTAGTTTTTTTAACTTAATGTACAAATGCACTGAATTATTCATCGCTAATTTTTTAATTGTCAGTATTTTTTTAATTTCTTTTGATAAATGCTTCTCTGTAATCATTGTATTGAAAGATTAATTTTAGAATGCACATATCTTTTATTAACTCTCTTTAAGGGGAGTTGGAACCCCAAAATCTTCAAAAAATTGGATTGTTTTGCATTTCAATGCTCACCTTTACTTTTAAACCTTCTTATTAAAAAGAATAAAAATTGTTTTAAGCCGCTTTCAAGGATTTTTCAAAAAGGTTTTTTAAACTATTTTTTTAGAGACTGCTCCCCCCCCAAAAAATGGGACAGTGCTATATCTCCCGTTCTACTGGGCCGATTGACAAAATTCAAACTGCGTTTTTTCATGTCTCGAAAGCGCGACTTAGGATATATATTAGATTTATATATAGCACTATTCTAACATAGGTATTTTGACACAAAATCGGACTTTTTCTGAAATAACATACCAATTTTTTTCCATATTTCGATTCTACGACTCAAATTATGCCAGAATACCAAGTTTTGTAAAAATCGTACGAGTAGTTTTTAAAATATTAGCTCTCAAAATTTTAGCTCCTCAATGTTAATTGAATTTGGCAAATATTTATTAATATCTCTTTTTTTATTAAACTTTTTTGATTTTTTCTTTCTCACATTTCGAAATTTAGGTTCATTCCAAATAAAATTTACCCCCATTTTTTGTGTTTTATTTTTTAAATTTCTATTTTTAAATAATTTTTTATAAATTTTTCGAAAAAAATTTTGAATTATAACCTATAAAATTTTTACCATCATCTTAAAGTAGGTGTATTTTTAAGCATATCTGCAAAAAATTAGACTTTTTTATTCAAAATTTTCTAAGATATACACGAATTTACATAATTTTCGCGTTTTGAAATTTGGCATCTTTTTTTTGAGCGATAATAACGCCAAATGTGGTTTATGGATTTTTGTTACACTGAATTGCCACAGCTATTTTTAACCTTAAATTTCAAGTAAAATTTTACGGAGAATTAATTATATGACATTTTTTCCCTCAATGATGCGTAATAAATATTTATTAATACTATATGAAAAGCTATTTTTTTTAAATTATAGATGATATTATTCAAATTTTTAACTATTTTTTTTTTAATTTCTCTCTTTCTTCCTTTTTTTTTAAAAAAATAAGAGTAAATTTTTACCTTCGGCGTTTTATCGTCTGCTACTTTACTTCGTTTAAATCGAATTGTCTAAAACTGAGAATTTTCGTTTGATGTTTATTTGAATTTTATGAAAATTTATGACATTAACTGCATAATTTATTTCTAAACAAACTGTTGCTTTTGAAGTGGCTGAAAGAGCGGCTGATACTATCATCCATATTTTTAAAGCACAGTATATTTTTATAGAAACATAAGATTTAGAATAATCATTTTTATAAAAGTCAAATTATGATATAAACATACAACCCTCTAGAGACTGAATTAATGGAAGTTCAATGGTTATGTAGAAATGATCTGCAGCTACTTAATGGCTGGATAAGTCAGCAGATTCTGTGGACAAGTAAGAATAATTATATAAACGACACCCAACATTCTGGATTCAATTAACAACGAGGATACGATGTTTATTAAATGAATTTAAGAAGTTTTTAAAACATAAAAAATCAACTCATTTTTTATCCTAAAATGTATTTTTGTGAGTAGCGTATTTTCATTATATCCTTAAAATTCTAATTTAGAATGTAATTGTCAAGAACTGAATCCTAATCATCAGTAATATAATAAGTAATTATTACGGTTATTAATAAAAAATCCTTCTTATAAAGTAATTGCAAATATTTCAAAAAAACTTTCTGTCTGAATGCAAATATTTTTAAAATTTTTAATTTTATTTAATCAAGATTGCACACGATATTATTATTTCCACTTCAATTCTTACCGTCAGCTTCTAGTAGAAGTTTACAAATCAATTATATTTAATTAAGGATTGGATTGGATTATTTAATTATGGCAAAGCACACGAGGGCTATCTGCCTAAAGGGAGGGATGCCTTCGTGGAGGACTTTCTAAGGGAAACTGGCTCGTATACACGTTACACATGGGGAAAAAACCACGAAAACGCCCATGCGGCCAGCCCGTTCGCGGGATTCGAACCTCGGACTCGAACCGAACTACCAGTGTTCAGCGTCTTTACCGCTCGGCCGCTTGGTGGGCTATTTAATTAAGGAATGACCATCTAAGTTTAGAAACAGCGTACCGTAACAGCAATTTCAATTATTGGCGCCGTATCTTTCATGTTACTCCCGATTGGCAAGCTACATGATTTTTAATGAGTATTCGGGTTTTGCTAGTAACTTCACTTGGAAATCGCGCTTAAACTAGGTTAGTTGGTTATTTGAACATAGAAAGAACATGGGAGCTATTTGATTAAGATGCTTTCATAGAGAACCTTTGTAAAGAGAACCTAGAAAACTACGAAAACCAACCATGCAGCCTGGGTTAGACTTCGCAACAAACAATTAGTATTTAACAATCTTCAAATGCTAGGCAACTGATGAGGCTCCAATTAAATCTCCAATTTAATATTTTATTTGTAAATATTTAAAATATTGTTGTATTCTTAGACACAAAAAGCAGAATTTAAGTTTTGTTAACTCGTTAGTAAACTACCAAGCCGTAGTGCAAATGAATATTCAATTTCTTTTGGCAATAATTGTATTCACTTAATATTCTTGGAATATGAGCTAAAGAAGGAACGTTCTCGGAAGATTAAAGAAGTGTTTAAATCCAGTGATATTAGGTTTGTCTTACAAGCTCAGGATCAAAACGATTTTGCAATTGCCCGAGTAGTTGACTTGTAAATGGCTGTGAATTAAGCAGATGACTTTTAATCTTACGTTTCAGTCCAGAAAACGTATTCCAAATGTTTTGTATTGCATGACAATGCATCTTTTCATTATTCAATAACCAGTCGGAGAACCGCTTGTGTTCCGAAAATAAGTATGTGTACTCAATCGTCCTGCATGTTCTTCAAATTTGTCTTCTTGTGATTTTTTTTTCTTTCCAAAAAAACTAAAGTTGCCTCTCAAAGGAAAGTTTTTTGACATTGAAGAGACAAAAGGAGTATGACATCTACTTTTAGAGGCATGTCAAAAAACAGATCTCTACAAGCCTTCTCTTCCATTACATGTTGTGCAGTCAGACAAAAAGTTGCATCAGCGTAAATTCTATAATCTATTTTTATTACACTCTGATTACTTTATTAACATACAGTGAATATATACTAAATCTTTTACTTCAGCTTAAGTAATTCGGAATTTTTGACGGAATTGTTGTCGGAACTAGGACTTAGAAGATAAGTCAAATTAAATATTTCGATAACCCAATAAATTCAAGGTCGAAATTTCAATATTTTATTTTCGGAGGGAGGGGAAATTTTTTCAGTTTTGGTCCATTATACTAAGTATATTTGCTTCGATTTTTTATTTTTCCATAAAAGCGAAAAATTTACGCATGGTATACATATAACGCATAGCTTCAAATTAAAATTTAATAATATACAGAGTGGTTATAATTAAAGTTCCACATTGAAACGGTCATAAAAGGAAAACTACTGGATCAAATGTTATCAAACTTGGTAAATCGTGTAAAGGAGGTCATGGGAATTTATTTTCCGTGGAAAAAACGAAGTTCGAAACCTCATCACCTGGGGGAAATGGCGCTGTATGCAATATTGTTAAAGGAAATATGGGTTGGAATCTAACTTAACCTTTTGTTACACAAATTTAATATATTGTATACCCTTAAGAAACTTTGAAGTAAGCAAATACCCTTTAAAGGCGTTAAATTCGATAAATGTCGAGTGCGCCATCCGTGTAAGTGAGAAATTCGTCCGTGAAAACCACGAATTAGCGATTAGAAAATGTGAGATCGCAAATCACTCGCACAAGTGCGTACAATCTGGAAATCGTTTTCTTACAGATCGCTAATTTGTAATTTTTGAAGCCTGAATTCGGCCCTAAAACATGAAGATACTGATTCAAAACGCTTTTAATCGATTTGGGCCAAAGAAATCCCTCATGTTATCTATCTAGTTCCATTGCATTCTCCTACTGCATTCGATTGCATAGCAGTAATTTCACACTGTTTAGTGTTGAATATGACAGCTAGTTTTATAACTGAACCATTTTTCTCTGAAGAGCAGTCGAGAGCTGGACGACTGTGATTGCAGCTCACTTAGAGTCAATGTTAAAATGTTTCGGGATGCATGATGAACTGCAGTAACGTGGTATTTTAGATACTACAATTTTTATGCAGGACTGGGCCTAACCTCATGTGTGTCGCACAGTTACTTAGGCAACATTTCACGAATGAATGTGTTATAGGCCAACACTTCCCCTCTTCCCACTAGACCTCAACCTCTGTTACTTTTAGCTATGGGGTTATCTGAAAAGCACTGTTTATGGTGATAATCTAAACAATTTGGCAAAAATGAAAAATGTGATACACTGACATGTCCGTAACATTCCTCCTGATATGCTAAGAGCTGCTGTGTAGAATGCAGTAACAGGATTTAACTTGCTTTCGGAAAATGCTGGACGCTACATTGAACATGCTTTGTAACACGTTTCAGAAAATATTAAACACATTTTAAACAGATGTTTTCGTGTTTTATTTCATTTAACAATATTGTA